TGTTCAGACTGAGCTTGCGCCATCATTGCCGCTTGCGCTTCATCTCTGGATCTTCGAGTGTCACCAGCAAAAACTCTGCCTGCGCATACTAAGTGGAAGATAGTGGAAGAATGTTCAGACTGAGCTTGCGCCATCATTGCCGCTTGCACTTCATCTCTGGATCATCGAATATCACCAGGAAGACACAGCTCATTCACACGAGTAGGAGGAATGTTGGGAGGGTTGGATGAAGCTGGGTCCACTGTCTTCGCACGAGAGTCTACATTGTGTTCCATGTCAACACAAGGACCTGACTCATTTTCTCCATCACCATGGGGGTTTGTTCTTCCAATATTTCAACCCTTCGGCACAATTTGACAATCTCTCTACGGTAGAAATCATTGTTTTTAGAGCTTCTTGCTTCTAGTAGCAATGCCAGTAGCTTCTGGCTTCTAGATGTCAGGAGCTACTAGTAGATTCCTGCTACTAGTAGAATTGCACATGTAGAAATGCCCTTGTTACTAGTAGCTTGTTGCGTCTAGCAGAAATGCCAGGCGCTACTGCTATTAGTAGAAATGCCCTTGTTACTAGTTGTTTCTTGCTTCAAGTAGAAAGGCGAGGAGCTACTAGTAGCTTCTTGCTTCTAGTAGAAATGCAGAAGCTACTATAGTTACTAAAAGCTTCCTGCTACTAGTACAAATGCCAGGAGCTACTGGTAGCTTCCTGCTACTAGTCGAAATGCACTTGTTACTAGTAGCTTCTTGCTTCTAGCCCTCCATGCAATTGTTACTAGTAGCTTTCTACTAGTAGAAATGCCCTTGTTACTAGTAGTTTCTTGCTTCTAGTAGAAATGCCCTTGATGCTAGTAGCTTCGTGCTTCTAGTAGGAATGCCCTTGTTACTAGTAGCTTCTGGCTTCTAGTAGGAATGCCCTTGTTACCAGAAGCTTCTTGCTTCTAGTAGCAATGCCCTTGTCACTAGTAGCTTCCTGCTACTAGTAGAAATGCCAGGAGCTACTAGGAGCCTCCTGCTACTAGTAGAAATGCCCTTGTTACTAGTAGCCTTCTACTAGTGGAAATGCCAGGAGGTACTAGTAGTTTCTTGCTTCTAGTAGGAATGCCCTTGTTACTAGTAGCGTCTGGCTTCTAGTAGGAATGCCCTTGTTGCTAGTAGCGTCTTGCTTCTAGTAGAAGTGCCCTTGTTACTACTAGTAGCTTCCTGCTACTAGTAGAAATGCACTTATGACTAGTAACTTCATGCTACTAGTAAAATGCCCTTGGTACTAGTAGCCTCTTGCTTCTAGTAGAAATGCCAGGAGCTAGTAGCTTATGTAGCTTCATGCTACTAGTAGTAATGCCCTTCTTACTAGTAGCTTCTTGTCTAGTAGAAATGTCAGGAGCTACCAGTAGCTTTCTGCTATGTGTTGTCAGTGAGTTGACCACC